TACATCTGATGTTCAAAACATGGAAAAAAAATATATATATAAGAACAATGGAAAAAAGAACACATATATACCTAAGTATAAAATACAAATAGACACAATCTATATCTGTAGCAGAAATGCGTATTTAATCAATAGCGAGCAACATGCTTTTAGTATGTTTACGAAAACTTTCCAAAGACATCAATTTAATACTGATTATAAAATAGTGCTGCATTATATGTAAATCCTCGTTGGAATAATGCAGAAGTGTGTGGGGTGGTTCTGATACTATAGCGATTCCTAACAGCCCTGTCATGCACTTCGTAATTAAATCTTAACTTAGCTCTTAGATATTCAGGCTTTGATGACAATATTATTTTATGAACTAAAACTAAGAATTTATGTTTAACCAAACTTCCTAACCTAAGCCAGTACAATTCCCTATATTTATCACTTACGTGATCGTATTTACGCAACCCATAAATAAAGCGAACACAGTTATTTTGGATGATTTGAAGACGATTTTTGGTCAATTGATCCAAACATGGATAATAAACGACATCACAGTAACTGAGCATTGACATCACCAAAGATTCGCACAGTTTTTTTCTCAGCTTAAAGTTAAGCAAGTAGCGATTGGAATAAAGAGCCCTAGAACACAGGTAAGTTTTTTTCATCAAATTAGCTATTTGGCTGCGGAATCTTAATTTTGTGTCAATTTCCACTCCTAGTACCTTAGCTGTTTGAGTATGCTGTAATGTTATGCCATCAATAGTCAGATGGAAAGAATCTTCGACAGTTTTCCTCTTCTGATCAGAACAAAACAATAACACTTGTGTCTTATCTGGATTAATAGTAAGATTATGTTCCACAGAAAACTGATGTACCTTATCTAAATCAAGCTGTAAAATGTCTGATGAATTTTGCGTATCTGAGGCTTCGAAATGGAATATTATTTGAGTATCGTCAGCAAATGTTTGTATCCCTGAATTTTCAACTGCTTTATGCAGGTCACACGTGTAAATCAAAAAGAGCACAGGTCCCAAAATTGAGCCTTGCGGAACTCCTGACGGAATAGTCGTAATATTGGATTGATCGTTATTGATTGCGAAACATTGCGTGCGACCGGACAAATAGCTACGGAAAAAACTGACAGCAGCATCATCGAAGCCTATATACCTCAGCTTGGCGCACAAAAGTTTATGATTTATTCGATCGAATGCTTTGGAATAGTCAATTGATACCACTGCTGTTGCTAACTTTTTGTCAACTGCCCTAATAACATTATCACAACTAGAATTAGTTGAAATCCACTTTGAAATTTAATTCAACTTTGCTAAAAGCACTCAATATATGCATTGGGGATTTCAAATTCGGAAACGGTAATACAAAGTCGTGTATGAAGGCAAAGTTGCGCATTTAGGTAAGTAATTTCTTAGATAGTTCAGGAATTTTTGGAGAGACAGTAAATACGAATTTATTTTGGTTTCATCAGCCCTTTTGCTAGTAGACCAGCAACAGCGATATTATTGTTGGTAGAGGGAATCTATGTTAATACTGTTCTGATTATGATTTTGCAACAGACGAGTTTGACAGCACATCGGGCTACGTCTGCTATGACTTCCGTAAACATATCAGCATCTGCGATGCTAATATAGAGTTGAGAATGCATAAACTGGACTATTTCAGAGGCACTGCTTAGATTACATCATGATGTGTACTCGTATAATAAGACTAATAAAGCCAGGAAGCTACTAAGAGCTACCGGTTTTGCCACTCCGCTCAGAGGCGTAACATAGATTCTTTTATTCAGAAGACTCCTTGGTTGAAAAGCATTTCTTCATTTTTATTCGACTGCCTCAGAAGAAGAGTTATGTTTTTCGCGTGTGGGTATTTAAATTAAAAAAAATGCATTTCAGGAGCTACAGCCCAAGCGGTTTGATAAGGTTTCAATATTTGAGGGATTTTTAGACTCGTCTTCTTAGCATAATCATATAAATCTCTACTCTCTTCAGTTACTGCAGTCGGGTTGTTTTTAAAATGTACTTGTTCATGAATAATACGAGGGTTACAAAACTAAGGTTTCCACATTTTTTCAGACACAAGGAATTTGTCATTTGAAAAAACGAATTCACCATTGGTAACATTGATCTTTGAGCTGTTTTTCTCCATAGTTGCCATGTTTTTCTACACATGTCTGTGTGGCCATCAAGTCACTTTCTTCACCATTTGAGGACATGTTGAACGCTTAGACACGTTTTCCCATATACTTCACTCATGTGGCGACTAATTTCTATGGGTGGTAACGTTTTTGCCTGCAAAATTCGGATGACCGCACGAATTTTGCACCTGTAAAAAAAAACCTGTAATATGTCATCTTGAAAACAACTTAGTTTTTAGGGCGCAAACAGTCGTTCTAAGTTTGCTCACAAGGATCGTTGTGAACGTCCATCTATGGAGGAATCACTCCACTAAACTACACGCATTATTGGTTGCATATGTTTTGTGAGAAGAAAGTTGGTTAAATAGCAAGACCGCATCTGAATGATTATGTGTATTGGGCTGCATGTGAACAACATCAGTGATATCTGCTGTGTGAGAAAATAATTACTGAATATGCTGCCAATGAAGTATATCTATTGGCTGTGCTCGACGGGTTATTTTGATGTTAAGCTTCCTGAAGACAGGTTATGTTCAATGTTATAAATAACGGAAAACTGAGGAGAATTACGGGAAATCATAACCGCGCCCGCGTTGTGCGTAATTACTGTTAGCATGAATATGGCTTGTAATTCGACAGTGTACAGTGATTATAATTATTTCTTATCTCTCTCATTTTTGAAATTCAGCAAATTTGTATATGTAATTTCCAGAATGGATAAGAAAAAGTGGATGGGCGACTAATTTCTAGCTTTGAATCTCAATTAAGTGTATTTGAGACAAGAACCCAATGTAATTATCATCAAGACATACAACTTACAGCTTAGACCTCCAGTAATGCCATCTCAGAAGCAGATTTTACATCACATCAGAGCCAAAGTTGATAACAAGCCTCATGAGGTTTAGGCAACACGCTCAGCTAAGTGCTAAGTTAACATCTTGTAGAAAAACCTACATAATGTCAAAAAACATCGGCATAATGTCACTTTTCAAGATACGTGATACCCGTGCCGAGCCGACACACGGCGGTGTTGCCAGATTTCACCTAGCATCAAATTTATGAGAACTGGGAAAAGCTCATTCTACTAGTTTGTTCCAAAGCTTAAGCTCAAAGAAGCGGTAGTGCCCCCCAGCTCTTGATGCATAAAGTTTGGCGGGGTTAGAATGGGAAGCAAGATCTGTGACTTCTCGTTCGCTAAACAGTTCCTCAGTTGACCTCGCAATGGATAAGCCAAATCCAGGAAACAGTTTCAGTACTGGAATTGCTACTAGACAATGTCAGCTAGGGAAGTATCCCGATAATAACTGACACGTCCTTATTTAGAGGATGTGAACAGGTCGATGCAACTGTCAATCACTTACATTGCGACTGCCCAGTTGTTCTATCAAGACGATAAAAAATAATGATCAGAACTTAAAAAACCTCCTCGGTAGATAGTCCCACAATCTCGATACACTAGGGACAAAGGCTCTGAGGAGCAAAGCCCGTAGGCTTAGCGGTAGAAGAGAGTTAGATCGCCGACGGCCCGCCGGTGCGAAAGGGTCCCGCAACTGTCCGTTAGAGAAGGGCCACCGATCAGTCGGACAGCCCTTCTCTGAACAGCATTCAACCCAAAAGTGTGAGCTGTAGTCGAGGCTAGGTCTTACGTGGGCATTGTACACAGGTACTTCTTAGCCCTAAACAAATTTCATAGTAACCCTAGCCTCCATAAAATAAGTATCTGCAAAAGGGACAGGACGGAGCATGGCGATTAACCCTGGTACAGTTGCTGATTATAGAACTTCTTGGAGAAGCGCTACTGATTGAAGACCATAGTGCTGTTATTAACAATCGGTGTACGTTTACACGTTGAAATAACTGTTTTTGATTGGCGATGCAAATCGTATCATATTTCATCTAAATGCCCGATTTCCTATACATTACTTATTTATTGAGAGCGTGTTATCTGCTACTGAATGATGGATATCATGTTTGTCTGACCAGGAATGAGAGAACCTCAATTTAAGAGGGGCGTTTAAATGCATTTTTAGTAATATTTGAAAATTTAGGAGCAGCACGTTGGGATTTATACTATCAATATGAACCAAAGCTCAGAACAGGATTTAATATAAACTGTATACGAGGGCGGTCCGATAAGTCCTTACGGCCTTACCGCCCGATGGCGCCACTATCGCAAGGGAAATTTACTATCGTTCGGTACATTCTCGTAGATGGCTACTGTCAAATTTCAGGCGAACCTGACTCATAGTTTTGTTTTGACGCGGATTTTAGGCAAAGAACAATATCGGTCGGTGATTCGACTCTTATTTTTGGGAAGGAAATCGCGCAGCGAATTAAAGGGCCGATCCGAATATGTAATAAAATATAATATATTAAATTTGAAAAAAATGCGAAAATCTTTTCATTTTCCTTGAACTTATTATATTTTATTGCACGTTCATATAGATGAAGATTGATATAACATACTACGGCCCGTTCATAAAATAAGTAGTAGAAGGGCTTTTTGAAAAGCACTGTATGTCCCTCGCATAGATAGGATCCACAAACAAATGAAATAAACAATATTCATAGTTATCGTGTGTGTAAATGATATTTAATACCGAGATATGATTCGAAATCATGCCAGTGGATGGCAGGACAAGAGATATGAGAGCATGTGCGTCATGCGGACTAGTTTGGGTTAATAAGAACATTAAGTTGGTGCTGATTTCCATCGATATTTGCTCGGGAGAATACATTTACACATTTACTTTGAAAGCTCTAACGGATAGATAGGAGATGACGCAATTGAATATTTCAATGTGATGTAATTATAACCGTTTAAGAAGGAAATATTTATATTGTATTTGTATTGTTTCAGAATTCGGCAACGTCATCGGACAATTCAGAGAGCGATTGTTACCGAGAACCAGCTTGCAAGTATCCTCGGTTAAGTAGAAGAGAAAGATGCAAGACAACCAACCGGCAACAGTTTGAAGACTACTCTTCCAGCGAGGTACGGATGAGTAAAAATATCGATATTTCTAAATATAAGCATGATTGTTACGTAAAAAAATCGCCACGGTTGGTAAAAACCCAGGTTTTGTTTGTTTAAACCAGGTGCTTTTGGTTCAAATAATTTGCGTTTAAATATTGACTGAAACAGACAGTGGATACCATTATTTGATACGTGGAAAGCAGCTTTTGTGAGGAGGCAAAAAACACTATGTCTAAAGGAAACTAAACAGTTATTTACATAAAAACACAAACATATTGTACTTCCTTATTTGCGTTCATGTGTGAGAATGAGCTAAGAATAAACGTGATGTACTAAAAGGGTTGACCAAAATTTTACTTTCGGGATTTTGGGTTTATAGTCGGACAAATAAATAATACGAAATAAACAGTTACTTTTATGATAAAAATTAAATGTATTACAGCAAAATACTTTTTTGGCAAGTTATGAGATTACAGATGATACATATGAGACAACGAAAATACACTCTTAATTTTAAATTGGTGTTTTGTTATTTGTGGGGATAATTTGTATTTTGCCTGGACTCTGGAAACCATATGAAATATCGGGACAATCTCGACGAAGCTCGAACATCTGGTAACCAAAAGTGCTAAATCTTAAACTAAAACTTGAGTCAAAATTTAATCATATAATTTCAGTTTATCATTGATAAATAAAAAAAATAATTTCAAGGCCTTTCAGTACCCATTCTATTACCTTACTTTGCATTAAGCCAAAAGAAGAAAACATTATTTCTACACCTGCTGAAGATACTTGTGCGGTGTGTGAGTTATTGAGTGATATCGATAATTTTATCATTTTCGTTTGATCAACATCATTTTTTGGTGTCTCCACCACCTAATTGTTACTTTTGTAGTTACCCTAATTTCAACAGATTGTTTTTTAAAATTGAGCACTGCTTGAAATTTTATTGGCAATTTATCATATCAAAATAAATCTGGTGGAAAATGTACATTTAAGGTGCTGTAATAGTGAGGTATTTTGACAACACTTGATTAAACCAAACAAAAATTAAGTTTTGATTAATTAAAAAGAAAGTTGGTGAATAAAATGTACAAGTTGCAAAAAACCTGTCGTTTAGCCCTTGTCTATCTCTTTCTAACATGTTTGTGTTGATATTTGGTTTTCCCTGTAACTGAAGAAAGCTTTTTTATTTACTGTCCTAGTAATAGAAGAAATGTAGGACCACCAACTGCTTCTAACAATTATAGATGACTACTCTTGCAGCGAGGTATTTCAATAACAATATCTAGTTATACCTACGATTTATTTCCTCAGAATCGTGAAATCCCACAGATTATACTACTATTAATGGTGATTTTTCCGTCGTCTATTATCCAAACCCGTAATTTTGTTTGAATGCAGCATATACGGGTATCATTTTGAATAGCTTGTTTCTGTTATTTCGTAACATGATTGTGAAGTGGATTTTAGATATCGGATAAATCTTGGATCAGTAGAAATCTTAACCATTGATGCGCCTACAGATATTCTAATAATTCGTGTGATACTTGTTACTATTGTGATGTGTTAACATAACACAGGATTATCGCGGCTCGAAATTTAGTGGTTATGTCAACGATGGTACATTTTAAATCCCTTAATGTATTGTGTGGGATTCTGGGAGCCCGCAGGGGGAAGCCAGGGGCGGCGGAGCTCCCCCTGGGAATTCGGTTGGAACTTAAAATTCCCCTATTCAGCATGGTTGTGCACCGAGTAACAATCCGTTACTTTTTAAAATTTCAAAATTTACTATATTATACTTGATATCATCAACCAAAAATTAAGCGAATAAGGTCACAATCAGTTATCCGGATTCAACAATAGTATCACCCTAGAACTGTTTTGATTCCGCGCAATGGAATCTCGTAACTGTAGCACAACTTTTAGATTTTTGTAGGCAAATACAGATGACACATAACACCTAATCTCCATAATTCGTCAGTTTTGAAGTTGAGAAATGACAATTAACAACTTGGCCTCATTACATGTCCAAGCCGCGTCTTTTTTAAAATTGTCGATATATGTATTACTAATAATATAATAAATCTAAATGCGCTCCTTCTTTAGTATCTTGAGCCGTGAACGTGAGAAACTTGGTTTTACCAAAAGATTCTCCTTGATGATTTACAGCGCCAACTGTTGATGAGAGGAAAAAACTTGCTAATACAGAAATCCATTACTTTTCACTTGAATTCTATTACTATTTTTGCCAGTTATCTGTTACTCGTCCCTAGTCGTCCCTAGCTATCCAAACCACTGAGGCGCGCGCTCGTTGAATTGACCGGCACGAGTAATAAATAATATATCTTTGATTCATGAAATATGTCTAATAGGAGCGTAGCATTACCTGGGTTGGAAACACATAAATTGCTTGCACAAAAAAAATTACATACCCTACAACCCCCAACACAAGATTCTTAACCCTTGCAATGAATTTTCCGTAAATGCTCAGAAACCTCTGGAACGTCAAAAAAACAAGTTTGCGCATTGTTTATTTTTTCGTGTTTTTGCATAGATATACCGACAGACAGACGGAAATAAGTGACATTGTTTTTTGTGATATATCGTATAACACCTAGAAAACGTTATATCATTTACAAAATTACAATACTTCCCCGCCAGTGTTGCGTGGGAAGTAAAAATCGTTTTTGAATTTAAGTTCTTTTTATTACCGGATAGATGACAGCTTGTTTTGAAAAAGTGTTTCTTCTTTTATTCATTGGTGGTCATTTCATCCTCTACAAATTTTCTATAGATAACCTGGACAAATACTTTATGGTTTTTTGAATATTCGGGAAATCAGTGATTTTGCCAAGTTTGACGTTTAATGATAAAGTTACCCAGCAAATTTTTTTGTGTCCGAACTCTAGACAGAAGTCCGTTTAATTTACCCTTAAGAACATAATTCTGTTGTGAAATCCGTCTGTTAATTTTTTTTTCTAAAACAGTATCTGTTTTTGGCTAGTTACCATGATGCTATGGTAACTCCCAAGTGTTGCAATCTTACAACGAAAACAGTGCTAGATTGCCATTGCCATGAAGCGTCGAGTTTAATTGCAGTTAATTAACTCGACAAATAAAAATCTATATCGGTATAAGTCAGCATAAACACGAAAAAAAAAACATATTACACCGTAACATTGGTATTTTCGATCAAAATCATTACCCAAAACAAATTTTCGGTTCATGTGCCATCATATACACACGTAACAAAAATATGTGTTCCGTGTTCAATGAAACATACCCACTCATTATATTGGAAATATCATCAGATATATTGCCAGATTACTCTGGCTATCAATGTCATTATTTCTATCTTTATCTTCAGCCTATAATTTGTACGGATACCATAATAACAGCTTTTTTAGGATTGTGTCATGTCTATTCTGTCGCAACGACTTAGAATGAGGATTAAGAATCTAGTGAATACCCATCTATTATTTATATTAAAATATTCTCAACATGTACTTTTTATGCGTTAATTTTTTTAATTTATTTACTACTATGCCGCAAGAGCTAGTTTAATCAATTTTTCAATCTAATTTTCATTTGAAAATATTGCCTTCTTTTAGTTACGCCAAAGACGTTCTATCATAAGAAGCTTCTGATCCTGGTACCAACGGCAAAACTAAATGATAAAAGTCCGATGTACAGGGTGACTTTGAAGTTGAGTCATTAATTTTCAGATAATGATTGTAGAAGGAAGATAAACCAAAATATGTGTGTAATAATAAAAAAAAATAAAAAAAATTTTACCTTGTTTTATAAAGTATTTCAGTGCGGACCTGTATTTGATCGTGAGGTCCCCTGTGAGGTCTTAAGTCACCTGATTCACGAGCCCGTTGTACTACATTAACAAAGGCTTGGTTGCACTCGATTGGGAAACCGATCCGCATAAACATGTGCCATTTTTTATTTCGTTTGAGCCACGCAACAGACACCACTATTCACACGCGTTACCGACTGACACTGACTGTATGTATACAACTGAATAAAATAATTGTAAAAACATCGTTCCAAATTCTTTCGCTTTTTGTTTCCGATGCGATGAACCGATAAGGCGGATTATATCCGTTGTTGCCAAACACGAGCACATGATATTATTATTGAGACAGGGCGGTACTCAAACTTCCAAAGGGCTATAACTTTGTTACTTTAATTTTACCAGAAAAATGGTAAAGGAAAAAACATTTCTTTTGATCAGATCTACTCACTGTTAAAATAAATGACTCAACTTCGAAGTCACCCTGTATAATGTGCCCATAACTCGAATTAACTTTGCAATCGTTGGCGTTGCGTGCACGGAGCGATGCTGGATCGTCGTGGTGGCCGCTACCGAATGTGCAATGCGTAAAAAAATCCAACTGGTCTGCGGTGGTGTCGTCACTGACACACCGCTACAGGAGAAATTACACATATATTCTTCTGAATTTTACGATCCTTAAATGTACCACCAATTTGGCCTAACATTTAATTTGTCCGTCTATGTTGGTTCTCTGAATATTTCGTCAAGTAGATTGACTTAGTACTTATGGCGCATTGATATACAGCAGACACGGACTGACAAAGCGACAAATGAGAAACACGGACTTGTGTAATGCAGATGCAACAGAAAACTTGTGAACCGAAGTTCGAATATTATCGTTTAGATTTTGAAAATTGGTTCAGAGGCGGCGTTAAAAAAATCGCAGGAACATAGAGTTACAACGTTTCAGATAGATTCCTGCTCATTTTCAAACATTGTTTGGACCTCGGACATCTACATCTGTCATGGAAACAGAAATATGATAGATTTGCTTTATATAGTTTGATATGCAGAGTTCGAATATTTATCGTACCTAAGTGAAGCTACCTAATCACGAATCGATTTGAAACGATTTGATTCACAATTTTTTTCTGAAACCTCCAAAGAAGATGTAGGAAGTATAGAGTCAATCTGCTTGACGCCATTTTTTATGCAGACTAGCTGACTTCGTCCCAAACAATTGATGTAACACAAAAGTTAGTCTAGAAAATATTGGCTGCAAATACGGTTTTCGATCAGAATGAGTTTGAAACATTTTTCAGTACGTTCAATAATTTTTCTACTGATTTTGGAATCGAAAAGGTACGCTTCCCATATTCAATTCAATTCAATTCAATGGACTTTATTGTAACACATACATAATTATGTATCCTTACAAATGGCGAAGTCTGGCCAATGGCCATTTATACTTAACCATAAATGTCAATGCTTATTACTATCTTCAAAATAAAATAAAAAAAAAACTGAAAAAGAAAAGGAAAAAGAAGAATAATAGTAAAAGAAGAATTAATAAATATGACATAATGCGTACGATTAGAACAAAAAACATAATACGTACGATTCAAAGAGAGGACAATAACCTAAGAGCTCAATAAGTTGTTTTTATATTTTTTTTTAGAAAAGTTGCTGATGAAACATTGTTCGAAAGAGTTGATCAATTTCACCGCATTATACGTAAAAGACCGTTGAAAAATGGCTGTCCTATGTTGTGGCATTGTCAGGAGATTAATGTTGCGCGTATTCAAATTGTGAATTAAATTCCTACGAACAAGCTTTTGCATAAGATAAACGGGAACAGAAGTTTTTAATATTTTTACGACAAATGTAACAAAGTTGTATTTGAAAAGATCAGAAATTTTCAACCAATTCATTGAAGATATTGAGTGAGAAACATGATCGTACCTTCTTAAATTGTTTATGTAAGGACTACATGAGTTTTGAATTTTTTGCAGTCTGTATTTTGTGATTTCATCCAGACAGGGATAATAAACTATGTTGCAGTAAGCGATTTTACTGAGTATGAGTGACTCGCATAACATTTTCTTAATTTTTCTATTTAAAACAGTTTTACTTGCATATAGAAGCCTGAGTCTAAAATAACTAGACTTACACACATAGCCAACATGCTCCTTAAATCTGAAATCTTCATCCAAGTACAAACCTAAATTTTTTGCAGAATGGGAAAATATTAGGATACTATTATTTAGTGATAAATTTAACTTTGATTTGAGGAAAGTACGTTTTTTCTTGGAGCAAAAAAGTATAGCTGTCGATTTCGATGCGTTTAGACGTAAATTATAATTGTCAGAATGTCTCGCACATGCTTTGATATCTGCAACATTTCATCCGTAAAAGTACCTTGCCCCTTTTTGCAAACTGAAATTTCCGCGGTGCGTGTTGTAGTTTTTTGGCAGATTTTTGTCTCCGATGTATTGCAAACTGTAAAAAATGTGTTGGATTGTAATGGAAACGTACCTGAAATTGAAAGGTGGAATCGTGTTTCGTTGCACGTCTGTATATATAGATTAACGCATCCAATTATTTTCCTCAGGAGATAACGACAGTTCCTTTCATCACGTAACAGATGACTAAATTAAAACGTCAACGATTAAAAATGGAAAGCTAAAGAACCAAATAAATATCTGATTTTAATAACCAAACAGATCAACAGATATATCAACGACTACTTTCCACTGCTTTTGTTTATATTTATACTGTGCATTGCAGGTGCGTATAAGCAAAATGCAATGGGAAATAAAATAGGCTTTATCGGCCTCATCTGTTGATATCAGATCGTATTTACAAGTCGGAAAAAGAGTTACATTTCGCTATTTAGAGGGTTTTTTACAGGAAGCAACGGCTACTTTCCCGTAAGCAATTATATTACTTTTCATTCATACATCATGCTGTAATCTTTGAATGTATAGCTTGATCTTACTATTTGCTCTTACATAAATATTTAGTTTCGAATACTGGGGTATCGATAGTCTAGTACACCGAGACAAAAATTCATGAAAACTATGGTTGCAGAAGAACTTCCTGATTAGGATCATAGTCGATAAGCGGATTTTTCGACCCCAAAAATAACTCAAATTTCAATTTGAGAGCACATGTATTTTTTCAATTTTTCGTTTTAGTACTGAATTTTGAAGTTTTTTGCAACAGATAGAAAACCTGGTCTGTGGATGTTGCGTTTCATATGGAATGCAATTTCGCCAGACCGGGTTATACACAATGTTTTCCTGAGACTCTAGTTCCATGCTTTGGTATTTTCAAATTGCATAAAGAGAGGCTTTGACATTCAGGGGCAATAAATGGACAAGATGTCAGATTTCCGATAAATTTAATCATTTTTCATTCTCCACGTGATCCTTTATTTTTCGATTTTAAAGTCGAGTCTATTTTCCACTGACATATTTCAAAGATCGTCTAGACTGTAAACTCAGAAAAATAAATACTTAATGGATGATAATATACCACCTTTCCCGTATGTTAAACACTACGACTACTGTGAAATTATGTTTATCTTACTCCGATAAGGCTTAACCTTCGCGGCAAAGAATGCATCTAGGTATACATTGTATATTGTGCATGATTCATACGTTCTTCGGCAATAAAGCCTGAAGCTTGCAACACGGAAATATCCACAGCCAGATGAAAAACGTTTCGTTTTAGTTTCCTTTGTTGTGAATGTTTGTACTAACTTATATGGTAAATGGTAGCTCAATTGTTCGTATAAATTTAAAATAAACAAAAATATCGCGGACAAACATTTTTTTCTTATAAATATTATTCGTTTTGCTTCGAAACAACGAAAGTTTCGAACCACGTATATATAACTTCACTATTTATTTGTCTCACTACTTTCTTTGAAAATTTCACCTTTATCACTTAAATTCATGCTTTGGGCCACCAGCAACCCCGTAATTTTGACCATCGAATCGAATGTATATTTAAATTGGTAATTTCGGGGCGCTAGGAAATAATTGATTTTTTCGTATTCATTTTTTGAATCACCCTGTATATTCTATTGCAGGATGAGAGCGACGGAATGAGTGACAACGGAGACGACCCCGCAACAGAAAACGGAACTGATGTTTTAGACCACGGAAAGGCTCCCTCAGATTTCACCAAAGTCGAAAAGAAAGCACCCAATTTAGCAACATATTATTTTAAGCACATAGACACTGACTCAGAAATGGATAAGCTAGATCACCGTGCCATATCAAAAGTAGATACGCAAAGCACCTTGGGGGAGACTTCCGAGGAGGAATGGACCTACACGAAAACGAATCATACTACGAAAACCAGCGACCAGGAGGTAAAGATTATCTTTGATATTTACGGATGTTACAGAATGTTTCAAAAACTGAAAGGCGGATTCAGCATGTCAGAATATAAAAAAGTTCATCTGAATATAGGTCCTGAAATTCAGTGAAATCTCCTTTGGAGGGACACCAACGGGACCGACTCAAAGTTTCAAGTTCAAGAGGGGTGTCCGTATAAAATAAATGCAACAAAAACCGTGTTTTTAATGAAAACTGTGTATATTAAAGAAACTAGGACAATTAAAACGTATATGTATGAAAATGTTTTTAAAATAAACAAGAAACTTTAAACTTAAGAAAAAAGGGTTAGTTATCTTCAGATATGCAGGGTGTAAAGCTAGCAGTGGATCAACTGAAGTCAGATGATAGAGGGCCTCAAAACCTATGGAATGAACCCCTATATGTGTGGTTCGAAATTTTATAGTTCAGGAGGTATTTGCAATTTTGTGAAATTTCGAAAAAAAAGGGATAACCGCAATTACTTTACTATTAAACCATTAATTTTAGGGCTGTGATTTTTTTTCTGAGATGATCTAAATGGTTAGTTTTAGCAATGGTTATGTCACTTTGTAACAGATCTTATTAGAAATCAACGCAAAAAATAATTAATTTCATTAAGAATCCTTACCACCTACAAGTACAGAACGTATTGTGTTTAGAAGATAACTTAATTTAACTAACTTTTAAAGAACATGTTCGAAATGGCCTCCATTATTTTGTATACACAAGCCACACCTTATGATAAAATTATCCTTTAGTCCTTGAAATGAATTTGCGTTTTCCATAATTTTTATTTTTGCTTCATCAATTTTTTGGCGCAGTTCGTTGACATTTGTATATTCAGATGTATATATTATCCCCTTATAAAGCCGCCATATAAAAAAGTCTAGAAGATTTAGATCGGGTGACCTTGAAGGTCATCGTATGTATCCACCTGTACCTATCCAACGCCCAGGAAAAGCACTGTCTATGTAATGCCGTACATCCCGTGCAAAGTGTCATGGGGCACCATCGCATTGAAAATTCATATCGTAGCAAGCAGGGTTTATTCTAAATGGATTCAAATATTTTTTACAATAAAATGAATAATGAAACACAACCTCACTTTTTTCTACCGCCCTCCAAAGTTGAGGGGTGGGAGAGATTTTTCACAAAAAAAATGAATTTAAGATTTTTTGCGTTGATTTCTAATTAGCTCTGTTAAAAAGTGACACCATTGCTAAAACTAACCATTTAGCTGATCTAAACAAATCAATGCCATAAATCCTAAGGTTTAGTTGTAAACGCGATTGAAAGTTTAGTATTTCGTTTTTTTCGAAATTTCCCAAAATTGCAAATACCTCCTGAACTATAACATTTCTGGCCACATATAGGGGTTGTTTTGAGGCCCTCTATCACCTGACTTCCGTTGATCCACTACTAACTTTACACTCTGTATACAATATAAATAAAGTATAAACAGTTCGACCGTCTATGGGGCTGTTTGAATGGTTGTGCAAACTGTTTTAGTAAATCGGTCAGGATCGAAATAATTTGTGTAAACACCCCTTGTTTGACCGTGTATGGTACGGTTTGTGCAAACTTTGGGCCAGTCAACTCCTGCTTCTCAGGTAGTTTCCTCTCTATTCCGTGGTTGAAAACGAAGTTTCGGTAGCTTCAGCTCTTCAAAGGAGGACCGTGTTGTTTTTCACTATGAGGCGTGTCGCCATTTTGAGTAGCTCGCTCAACAAAGCTGCGTCCTTTCGAATATGGTTTTTGTAGTCCGCAGCTGACGTTATTTTGAGCTCAGTGACCACACTCTTTGCTTTCTTTTTCTTTTAACCTTCCGTTCCTCAGTCACTAGTGCCAGAATAATGGAGTCACAGCAATACTCTGCGTCCGACATGTTCAACGAACAACCCCACAAAACGATATGATGTTTGCGCAACATGTTGCTACGTGTATGTGCTAGCGTTTGTACAAACACCGAGTTTGCGCAAATTGTTCGCACGTGTATGGGGGGCTTAATATTTATTTATAGCTTTTATTGCCCAACAAATAATATTACATTTATAGGCCAAAATCTTAAATTAGAAATATTACAAAAGTCTAACTTATAAAACTATCTAAGGCGCTCCCGCAAAACACATTTCAGCTCCGAAATAGAACATAAGAATATGTCACAAAACTTACAAATACTATTATAATTCAAACACATAACCCTTTCAGGTGATTTCAAAATCAAATTTGTTAGCACGACTGTAAAAGAAAGTAACATACATCTTGAAACGGATCTTGGCGTTAAAAACTGTAGTTGTGATAACAATTCCGAAGAAACTATAGTTCCATGCAAGAGTTTAAACAAAAAAATAACAGAACTGTGCTTCCGTCTCACATTCAAAGACGTCATTTTAAATTTGTCTAACAGAATTTGATAGTCCGATCCACGTTGAGGCTAGACTCTATCGCACTTAAAAGCTAGATATTTAAGAAACTTTTTTTGAACATAATATATCCTGTTTATATATTGAATGGATCGACTCAAAAAATTAAAATTCGAGGTAGTGAAATTGATGCATGTATACCATATTTTAGAGTAAAATTGACAGATGAAAATGTCAATATGGCTGCTGGGCGCCATCTGGGAAAAAAAATTATATGAAAACGGCGGTCTTGTGGCAAATCATTTTGAAGCTCCTGACGAGTACTTGATAATCCTAGAATATAAAGTCAATTCCTTTACCTACTACAAAATCGTGGTACATTTAATATACTAAGTGACAAATAAATCCCAACACCCAGTTTAAATGGTTTTATTTTAATAAAATTTTGTATAAGTACTTAATGAAGCATAATAAGTAAATGATAAAAATTTCAAAATGATTGCACTGCTTTAAAGCCCTTTGACCTTTAATGATGTGTGGATGCATCCTGATGTGCTACGCATTCTCCAACGCGCCTAGGCATGCTTCTGATCAGGTGGTCAATGTCCTCCTGTGGTATCTCATTCCAGGCAACCACCAACTCCTCTCGAAGTGCTTCTAGAGCCTGAGGAGGACGTTGCAAATTGAGCAATCTCCTACCCATCATATCCCACACGTGCTCAATTGGGGATAAGTCGGAGATCTTGGTGGCCATGGTAACAATGTGACATCATTATGTTGAAAGAAGTCTATTGTGACTCTTGCAACATGTGGTCGGGCATTATCTTGTTGGAAAGTTGGATCTGCCAGGGTGTCAAGATAGGGTAAAAGATGGGGTTCTAGAACTTCGTGGATATAACGCTGCGCGTTCATGTTACCTCTGATGAAGATTAAAGGTGACCTGGAACCATAAGCTATAGCACCCCAAACCATAACTCCAACAGTGTGATAAACATGTCTTTCAACAAAAAACTGTGGATTCCTCCTTTCATCACGTCGCCTTCTAACCCTGGCACGACCATCGTGCATGCCTAAATAAAATCGAGACTCGTCACTAAAGACAATACTGTTCCATTCCTGATTCCAGAGTGACCGTTGTCTGCACCACTCAAGGCGATTACGTCGGTGTTCTCGAGTTAAAGGGAGGACCCAGTGCGGCCGGTATGAAAACAAGCCAAAACGTCGGTAAACACTTCGCATGCCAATAGGTCATCCGTGTTCTGCAAACCATTCATTTGCAATGGACCTGGTAGTGGAGAAACGGTCCCTTAAGGCCAATAATCTTATTCGGCGATCTTCACGGTCTGTTGTTCTACGGCGGCGTCCAGTGCCCCTTGCTCTTTGTGTACGGCCTTCTCGAAGCCATGCCTGACAACACCTAACCACAGTGTCTACACTTCTTTGCGCTCTAACTGCAATTGCCCGAAAAGAAAGTCCAGCTTCCCGAAGTCCCACTATACGGCCCCTATCAAACTCACTAAGTTGACGAAATCGTACAGGTCTCCGTACTCTAGGCATCGTAACCGATCGTAAAGGATGTCAAGAACCAAAATCCGCCAACGTTGATTCTTTACTGCGGCTGAAATATTCATTTTTAGAGCGTTAGTGAATTAAAAAAAAGCAGTATAAAAACCGGAATGTCCAACTGATAAGGCTGAAAATTTTTTCACTTGTTATTTACAGTAAGATAAATACATTCACCAACTTTTATTAAAATAAAACCATTTAAACTGGGTGTTCGGATTTATATGTCACTTAGTATAATTACTTGAACACAAACCCACTAACATGCATATCTCTTCAAATAATTGTAAGGCCCTGCCGTATCCACAGTAACAGCGATGAAAACTTTTTTTTGTAATTTTTTGTTGACAGTTACAAGCGAAAGCAAACATCATTGTACAGTTAAAATATTCTTATTTAGTTTTCGGTTTTAGTGATAGACACTGTTTGAACTATTTTTAAAATGGTCAATCCTCGTCCATTGGAATAAAAAATCGAAGCGATTTTTATTTATGGTGCGACGAGTAACTTTCACGAGACCGAAAGGATTTTTAATTATCGTTTCCGGAATCATCCTATCTGTAGAAAACATTTAAGGGAACTTGTATCTAAATTTACAGCTACTGGTAGTGTAATCAACAAAAAGCCCCCAGGTCATCCGACCATCCCGGAAGAAAAGCAAGTTCAAATAATTGGTGAGATCATAGTAAATCCCCAACAGTCTACTTCCTCCATCGCGAATGTATGTAAGGTTTGTCCTTCTACTGTATGGAGACTTATGAAAAAGAATAAGTACCATCCATACAAAATTCAAATGGTACATCAGCTAACTGAAGATGACGTTGATCGAAGAACAGAATTTTTAGTGATGAATTTACCTTTTTTTTCAACGGTAATGTGCATAGACAAAATTGTCGTTATTGGAGTGACACCAATCCACACGTCTTCCGGAAAACTCATACTCAATATCCACAAAAAATTAACGTTTGGGCTGGGATATTGGGAAATCGTATTGTGGGGCCTCTATTCATCGAACAAACTTTAACCGGATAACTATATTTCTCTCTAATCACCGAAATCGTCGAAGCGAATCCTAATGATGTCGATACTGATATTGTATTCCAGCAAAATGGTGCTCCACCACACTACTACAGACAAGTTAGGAATTATTTAGATAACAGTTTGCCCAGTCGTTGCATTGGCTGGCCGTCGAGGTCATGTGGAATGGCCAGCTCGCTTGTCAGATTTGACACCTTTAGACTTTTTTTATAGGGCTATTTGAAGCAATAGGTGTACGAAATTGAACCTGCTTCAATATTGGATATATGGCTGAGAATAACAAAAATTTGTAGAAATATCGATGTTACTATGTTTGAAAATGTTCGACGCAAAATTACGGACCGGCGGTTATTGTGTCAAGAAGTTCTAGGGAACCATTTCCAGCATCTTCTAAACTGATTTCAACGTATTTATTCGAATTATCAAGTTAAATGTCAATGTATTCAGGTAATAATTAAATGTACCACCATTTTGTAGTAGGTAAAGGTATTTGACTTTATATACTAGGGTTATAAAGTACTCGCCAGGAACTTCAATATGATGTGCCACAAGATCCCCGGTTTCATATAATTTTTTTCCAAGATGGCGCTCAGCGGCCATCTTGACATTTTCATCTCTCAATTTTACTCTAAAATATGGTATCCATGCATCAATTTCATTACCTCAAGTTTTAATTTTTTGAATTGATCGGTTCAAAAAATCTAAGGGGAGGGGGACATTAAAGAAAAGCATCTAGTAACACAAAACAGTGTAATAAAAGATCACTTTAAGGACGCAAAAATTCATATATTGTCGTTTGCCCCCTCTTTTTCTTTAAAATGGCATCTTGAAATCGTATTTTAATGTAGAAAGAAGCTCCAAAGACTCTGGCATCTTGAAATCGTATTTCTAATTTAGAAAGAAGCACAAAGACCCTGTTCTCCCTGATTTTCGACAAAACTTTTGAGCTGCTTGGTTAGGATAATAGCTTCACCATAATTTGTAATACTTTTACTTTTGTTGGTACTGGAACCTCACCGAAATCAGAATGTTCGTAAAGTTCTTGTATTTCAGCTGGATTTTCAATTTGTTGGCCTAAATCTGGATCTTCAACATACAAACTTTCATCTAGGTTAAAAAATCAAAAAAGTTTTAATCATCATTTAACTTCAATAAATTCTTATTTTCGAGTATATCAGAAAGTATAGGTTCATCAGCCCCATTTAACTGGTCTTCACTGTGCATATTTCCATCCCTTAAATCCTGCTTTGCGGAAGCAATTTTGCACTATTTCTTTGGTTACTTGGTCCAAAGCGGTTGTTGTGAAATAAACTGCATGCATTGACGTAACTTTGTTTACTAACTCAAAAGCTGTGCCAGCAGTTTCAATGTTTACTAGCAGGTGTACTGCAGTAATAAGTTTTAAAACTCTTTATAATCCCTTGGTGGAGTGGTTGACAAACTGATATACAATTAGATGGCAAAACTAAGATCCCGCATTGTCTAAAAATAACAAAATGTTTCCTTTTTCTTTAGCCATATCCCAATCTAGATCTTGCAACCACTCTGTCATTATTTGGAGCCATTTCTACAATGAATGTCGGTGCATCCCCGGTTTACTCGAAAAAGTTCCAGCGAAGATGGCTCGCAGCACGATTGAGAAATACAATAGCGATACTCCCAACAGAAAAAAATAAGACAAGTCTTTTCTTTTTATTTTTTTTTGTCCGGTTAGGAGAACATTTTCTCGTGTCCGCGTCCTTTCAAGATAATGTCCGTCCAAGAGAGAGTTAATATAGTGTCTGTCACTGTATTCGTTTTTTTTTTTTATTGAAGGTACCAACCACTGATGAAACCGAAGAAAAAATCGTCCCGAAACCCAAACCCATCCCAGAAGATACGATAAGGCGGCTAGTTCTGAAAGCAGAAGAGCTGGTCAGTCCGGACAAATGTCGGAAAAATTCTGTGAACAAACCATCGAAAGTGAACAAATGGCTATGCTTGGAAAGACCGGATGATAGTTGCGATGCAAGTGGTGAAGATGACGAAAAAGAATCACAAACTTCGGAAGATGTCGATGCTAGCACCACAACTCTCAGGGAAATCAATTGTTCACAATCAAAAAATTCGTTTGACGAATTGAATACGAGCTCGGAAAGCAACCAGTGGTGTGGATCGTGTATGTCAAATTTGGACGATGTTTCCAATACCACAGTGTACGTATCTGTTTTGTCTATGAGTCTTAAATCTGGGCAACACATGGCGTTTTCAAAACATTGGGAAAGAATTCAAGGGGTGATTCTTTGGAGAATTATTCTTTTTCTGAATCGTATTTATGAAAAAAAGAGAAAAAAATTACTCCAAGAATTCTAACCCACCACCTTGTATATTCTATATTCTGATTAGTAACACCATTTCTTTCGTTTTCAGTATAAACAACTTTTCAATATCGGAGTCTGCCCTACACAAAATGAACCTAACGCCTAAAATTATGGACAGATTCTCGGCAAGTGCAAATAACTTTAACCTCACATCAAATAATTCTACGTCGTCGACAGTGGAGGAAATATCGCCACTGGTTACTGAAAAAACGTCACCTGCCAGAAGAAAGAAGTCGAAACTCAAAAAGAAAACACTGGTAAGAATCAAACTATACCTAAAGATTTAAAAGATTACATTTTGGAAATTGTTTCAAAAGAAATTCAATAAGTGGCATTCTAAATCTAGGACTGAAATTCATAAACTCATATATACGAACATCAAGTTAATACATGATCTATTGTGGCTAATTTTTATGTATATGAAAAGCTCTTTTTGTATAATGATGTAAAGTGGTGAGGTATAATGAGGTATTGACTATTTCTAGTTGATAAGTTGTTAACGTCTTCAAATTGTTGTATTTAGTTTATTAAGAAGGTACTCTGTTTTATATTCAGTCAAGTCTCGTGGACCATAAATGATGTTTTATAGATCTAGATTTAATTTACTGTTTTCCTTATATGACTTGCATGGTAATATCAAGACAATAACGAAAACAAGAATTTTGAAGTCGCTGCAGTCTAATCTTATCAAAGCGGGTCCATATGCAGCATCACAATAAGATATCCTTGAAATTACTAGTGAATCACACAGTTGGAATCTTGAATTCTATTTAGTAAAAGTTGTTTAAGTAAGATGTTGGACATAATTCTTTTACATGATGACATTTTAATTCATTATCTAGCCATAAACTATGGACTAATTGTATGTTCCTGTTTGACTGACTTGATCCGTTTAATTTTCCTGTTTTACAAAATCGTAGGCTGAAGCTTTTCGCCATTTTTTTTCACAAAGTAAAACTAAGTTTTTGTTTCCAGTTTGGGAAGTCGGACACTCACTTGTCGTGCGGTTCAGTTTCGCAAAAACACAGGAATCTTCTAATAAAATCAGGATCTTTTTCTGGATACAGCACAAGCAGATATTTGAATAATGACAGACACAGTATCAGTGATCCACCGACTTCACAAACATGTACACGAGGACCTTGTGAAACTTCGACGACAAGCGGGGCAGATAGTGACGAGGAATTTTCTAGAAGGTAAACAGTTTTCCTAAAACCGAGTGAATCTTATTGGAAGTGTGAAAATTGAACGTACTGCATTAGGTATTGTTTCTACAGCTACAAACATTACTTTAAACTTACGCCATTGAAGGTAACGGAATATTTGACAAAAATAAGGTTCCCACATTTTTTTCAGGCACAAAGATTTTTTTTGGGAAATTCAATTAAAAAAATTCCTGAATTCCTGGGAATTTTATTTTTGAAACAACCCTCGTATGTTCTGAAATATCGTGTTATTAGATGAAAATACCCCTGGTTTGCGAAATAATTGTAAGGTCTGGTTTTATTGGTGCAAGTTGTCAAGGGGGTATTTAAAACATGGACGCATAAAATGGGTACACCAATTTTTGTGGGAAAACATTTTATACGACAACAAAGAATGATAAAATGTATTTTTTGGGATTCGATCGAAAGTGTTGGCAGGAACGGAAAAACTCTTCATATAAGATTTTTAAGTATTTATGAGACCTACAAAATGAGAGCACACGTCAAAAGATCAGACTAATAGCAAAACAGTTATGGTCGAAAACCGAGACAAACTTCAGGTTTTGGCACTTGCTGGTAATGCAACGATGGTTTCTCGCAGATACATGAAATTCTTCAAAAGCGTAGGATTCATACTTCTAAATAACCACGACAAAATTGGAGTAGATTGGTCAAGTAGTTATTGAGAATTTCTAATTGTTTATCCCAAAACACCTGTTTTCCGGTCATCACTGTCATGTGGACTCATTTTGTAGGTCTCATAAATACCTAAAAATTTTATATGAAGAGTTTTTTCGTTCCTGTCAACTCTTTCGATGGAATCCCAAAAACACGTTTGTTGTCGAAAAAAAAGTTTTCCCACAAAAATTGGTGTACCCATTTTATGCGTTCATGTTTTGAATACCCGCTTGAACATTGCAATAAATCCAGACTTTACAATTATTTCGGGGAAATTTGCTAATATGATTAGGCTATATTACCAAAGCACAGCGAGAGCTGGAAAGCTCGTATTCTCGCAAATTGGTTTTTATTTTTTTGTGAAATCAGTTATGAATAACTATTATTTTTCTATTGTAGGGTGCCAAATTTCAAATATGGATGGAAAACGCGATATTTGCACAACACAGATCTGAGAGAAAATAGCTCGGGGAAAAATAGTCTAAATGCTACAGAGGAACAATCCAGTTCACTATCAGAACAGGCATGGGATAACTACCAAGTAAGTGATCGATATTAAATCTTCTATTATCTATCGATCTATCTATCATATCTTATCCAGCAGGGATACGTTTTATACTAATATTTACCAGGTACGAGATCTGTAAATTAAGTGATGAGACTGGCAACGTAGCGTTCGATGCGCCGTTCTTGGAGGGGAAAAGATTTGTTACCTTTAGCTTCATACAATAGGTACATATCTAGAATATAATATTTATGTACATAAATATATGTAGTAACACAAAGCAATGAAATTAAAAGTCACTTTAAGTACGCAAAAATTCATATATTGTCGCTTGTCTTCCCTTTTTGTTTAAAATGGCGTCTTGAACTCGTATTTCTAATTACAAAGAAGCTCCAAAGACTCTGTATCTCCCTGATTTTTGACAACATTTTTGAGCTGCTTGGTCAGGGTAATAGCTTTACCATAATTTGGAATAGCTTTTGTTGGTACTGGAACCTCATGGACATCAGAATCTTCGGAAAGATTTTGTATTTAAACTGGATTTTCAATTTCTTGATCTGATTCGGGATCTTCAACTTAGACTTTCATCTAGGTTCAAAAAATCATAACGGTGTTAATTATCAGTCAGTTTCAATAAATTCTTATTTTTGAGGATATCTAAAAGTACATTAAGTGGTAAGTCATCTTCTGGATCAGGTGTATCAACCTCATTTAACTGGTCTCCACTGTGCATATTTTCATGTTTAAATCCTGCTTTGCGGGAACATTTTTGCACTGTTTCTTTGGTTACTTGGTCCCAAGCGCTTTTTGCTAAATAAATTGCATCCAATGCCGTACATTTCTTTATTGACTCAAAAGTTTTACCAGCAGTTTCAATGTTTACTAGCAGATGTTTGGTAATAAGTTTTATAACTCTTTATAATCCCTTGTTGAAGTGGTTGACAAGCTGATGTACAATTAGACGACAAAAGTAAGATTTTTTATATTACTTAAGACAAGGTCTTTTCGATGAGATCCCGCATTGTCTACAAAAAACAACAACTTCTTTTTTCTTTAGCCTCTTCCAATCTAGGTCATGCAACACTTGCTTAATTCATGATAAAAGTAACCAAGGATGCAAGGTATTCAAAAGGCGCCTTGCTGGCTAAACGCCTGTATTATCGAACTGAATCCAACAAGAGCTTATCCTTAATTCTTATGAACCACTTTTCGTTGTCTGAATCAACAAATAATTACTTAAGCACCATGTCACTGCTTCTTTTTTCGAATATCATGGCGTAGTGTATCAGGGGTCATCACTACAAAGTTGTACTTTGATTATGCGCGTTTCGCGTGGAGAGACACAAAATAACGCCGGAATAATGGAAAAAGAATAAGTGAATTTTGCATCACGATAATACACCTGCCCGCGCATCGTTACTTGCGATTAGTTTGTTCACCCTATTTGGCCCCCAGTGACTTTTCCTGATCACAAAACTGAAGCGAACCATGAAAGGACGGAGATTTGAAACCGTTAAGGAAACAAAGCAAAGCTGGAGGAAATCAAGGCTTTACCAAAAACTGTCTTAATTTGGAGCCATTTCTACTATGAATGTGCCTATTGTGCCCTTTCCGGATAGACATCAGACTTATACTGAATGGAAATTTAATCGAAAGCGTGTACCGGTTAGGAGATCATTTTCTCGAATGCCCGTTCAAGAGGATGCCCGTCCAGGAGAGAGTTAATATTAATTTTTAATTCCTATTATTAATTAATTATTTCAAAAATTAATTTAATCTCTTGATATTTCTTTAACAAATTATTTTTAAAATGATTATTTTAGCAAATTATATGAGGGTCGGTCGGGACCATGAGCAACTGTCCGTTTAAAGGAGGTGTTCTTGTAAGAGGGGTGGGAAGTTTCTCTGTATCTGAATAAAAATCTTATCAATTAATTTACAGACCTCGTATGATACCCATTTGCTAAGCGTCCCACCCCTATGTACCTCGTTGTGTCATCATCCATCATAATCATACTCACATGGTACCACAAATTTAGCAAATTGAATTTTTACTTTTTTTTCAGGAAAATTACTTGTCTGAAGCATACAGCGAATCCCACGATTCGGACGCAGCAAGGAGATTATTGAATTTCGGCGAAGATTATCGGAACTTCATTGACAGTCAATCAGATTGGTCGGCATTTTCTGACATGTCTCCAACGTTCAGGCGAAAGAAATTGATTGTTCAAAACGCCGAAGATCAAATGAATGAACAGGAATCACTGAAGCAATTGGTCAATGATTCCAGAGATCAGCTCACGTATACTGAACAGCTGTACAGGCAAATGAAATTGGGACTTGAAAATCACCTCATACCAAACGACGTAAGTAATACAGGAATGTTACAGAATGTTTTCAGAAAATTGAAGACTCGGCGCGTTATGTTCAAACTTAAGCAAACGTATTGATAATTCTCATGCCCAGATGATACACAGTTTCTAATTAATTGAATACTCTTCAGATCATTAATCCACAAAAATCTAAGATGTTTTTATTTTGAGCCCAGAGGAAAAAAGACACAGCTGTTGTACATTCAAATAAATAACCAAATCTTAGTGTTGTTTTTGATACAAAATTAAGGTTTATTGAGCATGTTAAAGGTCATTCACAAAAAACTTCTTAAGACTATGTACCCTTATAGCAAACAGGAATTTGCTAAATTTAAGTTGCTTAAAAAACTATGTAAAGCATTGGTCATATCTAGACTAAATAATTCTAATATCGTATACTAGACATGTTTAGACAATTTCACCAGAAGCGTTATTCAAGTTATTTAAAACATTGTGTACGTTTCATCTTTGGCTTAGGTAAATTTGATTATCTATCTGCGAAATATCCCGTTCTAAACTGGTTAAATTTATGATAATTAATGACTTGGTCAAGCATCACTATTCAGTTTTTGGTCACAAATTACTACTCACGTCTAAATCCTCGTACTTGAGGGAAAATTTTTAATCTAACAATGATCTTCACAGTCGAACTATCAGATAAAAGAATATTAGAATACCCAGCATACGTCCACACTTTTTAAACGCAGTTTTTCCTACAATGTTACTATTATTTGTAATGACCTTCCTGTCTGTCCTGAGGCTTCTGAAAAAGCTGAGACAGGTAATCCAAAATCGAGCGATTTAGTTGGGAACTCATTGGCCATCCCCTTTACAGCCCCGACATGAGTAAATGGCGTTCGCATTCCTAGTGGAATGATTGCCGTCCTCCTTGGGCTCTTCTGGTTCATAAAATGCGGGGAACCACTCCGCAAGTTTTGGTTTTTCTGCTCTTATAGTTTTTCATGCGACTTGTCACTATTCACTACCTTCCTCTAGTCTTTCCTATTCTTACAGAGTTCTTTCCAGCTTTTAATTCCAAGAGCTTCTATGTCTGTGCATACTTGGTCTTACTTTTGATCTTCCTCTTGTTCTAGCTGTCGCATCATTGTCTCCTCTTTCAATATATTCTGCCCACCTTAATCTTTGCGACTTGATAAATCTTACAATATCTTCTCCATTCAGCACTCTCAGAATTTCCACGTTTCTAAGTAGCCTGAGCCCTTCGTCTTCTTTTATTGTTCCCATAATTCTTCGGACAATTTTGGCGTTCGAGAACTCGGAGTCTTTCTTGGTCTTTCATTGTAAGCCACATGGTTTCCGCTCCATACACGATTACCGGTCTGTTTGCAACTTTGTACATCGTTAGTTTGGTTTGCTTGCTTATGTTCCTATCCTATAGTAAACTGTGGTACATCCAGTATGACCTGTTACCCATCAGTATCCATTCTGCGATTTCCGCTGCCCTTTCATTTTCGTCGGTCACTAACACCCCTAAGTATTTGAATCGAGATACTATTTCAAATTGGTATTCTGCTATTTTAATTTCATTGATGCTGATCTTGTCTTGTCTGGTTGCCATTAGATATTTCGTCTTCTGTTGATTTATTTGTAATCCTCTTCTTTTTCCTTCGTCAGATAATTTTAGTGCTTCCTCTAGACTTCTTTTCTTCCAGTCATGGTTTGAACAATCGTGTTTCTAATTTCTGTGGCCCTTACAGTTCCCTCTACGACTATGTACAGCCCTGACATAGCCTGTCCAAAATTGAAGGAGCACCTAGGCAGTCAACAGTTCGAGACGGATGAGGAATTGCAAGGAGTAGTTACCAAGTTTCTAACCGGGCTAGCGACAGACTTTCTTGAGGCGGGAGTGCACGTCTATAAAGATGCGTGGAAAAAAGAACGACTATGGAGAAAAATAGCTTAAAGATCAACGTTTCCAATTCGTTTTTTAAAATAAAACATTCTTGTGCCTGTGGGAACCCTATTTTTGAAACAATCCTCGTACAATTTGAATACAACGTATATTGAAATGTTTATATAAACTGTTTTTACGTACTGAATCAAACAAAAAGATTTTTGTGTTCCAGGAGGACCTGATTCCGTCCTGTGATAGGCATATCGCATTACTGAGCCACATGAACGAGTCGTCGGACACCTACAAGATGACTATGGGGGACAGGGCGGTGACAACAGGTAGGAGTTGGTTTCCTGTATTTATACCCTGCATCTGGACATCCCTATTTGATTTCTTGTTCAAGAAAGCTGTTAAATTAATTGTATATTTTATTGACAAGTTAAAACGCATACACAAACTCAAAATGAATTGATTGTTATGGACACTGTTATCTTCTGCATGTAAATTAAGATTTATATTTTTGCTAGAATTGCTAACAGCATGTGTACGCATTAAATGTTTTGCTTACTATTCTCTTTTTGCTTTTTAGTCTACTCCCTATCCCTAAACCACAGCATATACAATGGGTTCTTTCAAAAATGACTTTCTTACAGCCCTGAACTGACATCTATAGCGAACCAATTCAGTCGATAACTAGGCAACATCATGTCATTAATTTGATTGAATTTGATCTCTAATAGAAACTTGTGATTGGGACTGCGTAGACGTCTTATTGGTAGCGTACTTTTAATTGGGCTTCCGAGAACGGATTATTTAAAATGTGTGCCCGCAGACGACTACACAGCGTCAACCATTTGGATGGCAGCCTCTCGCAGCTCGTGCCGGGCTCTCAGGGTCATAAATTCAACAACAAATACAGCGTAATTTATAAGGAGTGTGCTTGCTGTGTAGTATTGTATATGCTGTGCACCCGCCTCCTTTTGCTGACAGCAACTTTGTATACATGTTTGGAAAAAAAGTTACTGTTTCGAAATTTTGTAAAAAAGAATTTAATATTAAATAAGATCGAAATCGTCTTCAGAAATAGCATGAAAACATCGTTTTTAAGCCTAGATATAGAATTTTGGCTTTATATGAAATCGAAGAAAATATACCGGGTGTTACGAATTCAACGACTTACCATTGGAAACAGTTTCTTAAAGTTTTTTTTTTCTAATTTTATTTGTGTGAATTCAAAATAATATATACATCAACATTTTTTTCTCTTGGCCTTAATTATCAACTCCATTTTTTCTTATGGTCGCTATAATATTGGATTGCGGAAAATGGAGTTTTTAGTTATGATTCAATAAATCTCTTGCATTAACATTGCAAAACTTCAGTTATTTGAAACGAACTGAAATTTTCATGTTTGGCATTTAATACGTCACGTGTTTATTCAACCAATTACAGATTGTTTTATTTTCTAAAAAGTAGACACACAATTTCAGAGTTGTACTTATATTTATTAACAAGTTCAGATTGAATAAAAAATGCACAAAAATCGCATTTTTTGACAACAAAAAATCCCTAATCATTCTGACTGTAACCGACGATCAGAATTCTTTTGATATTTTCATCGGTTCTTGAAGATCTTCAATCGACTCTCTCCCTTCTTAAAACACCGAAAAACCTGGGCTCTTGACGAAGCAGTATCTCCGTAGGTCAGCTGAAGTCTAGCAAAATGTCCGTCGCACTGTGCCCAAGTCTAAAGCAAAGTCTGGTAGCACACCGTTGCTTGACATTCATGTGGCTCATTTTTTGAACACAATAGTAAAAACTTAAAAAAATCGGATAACCAAATGACTCGAGCGAGTTCAAACTTGTACTGAAGGCGAATCACATGTTCTCCTGTCTCCCCTCCAAGGCCAGCGCCTCCTATGTTGCCAGATCGAACGCTACGTTTCCAGTCTCATCAATTAATGGACAGACCTCGTAGGTTGATGATATGAAACAAATAACTATCTGTTAATTTCAACGCTGTTTTTGATAATCATAGTCTTATACAGTATTAATGAATGACATACATTTTTGAAATCAGAATATATATTCACCTTTGTAAAAATTCAATACGGCATCCATAAGAAAAAAATAAAGCATCAAACCAAAATTTTACCTTGTAGATGATAGAAGTTGATGTGTTAATGTGTCTATGTATTAATGTTGTGAGGGAGAAATGAAATCGATTGTTAGAAAATTGTTTTTTTCCGGAAATACTATGAATTGTGAAACTTTCTTAGGTACCAATTGGGCTACTGTTCTCCATTTAACCGACTTCGTATCTTTTACCGTTTTCAATATACCAATGATGAAAGTCGAAGTTGAAACACCCGGTATACAAATATCTAACGATTCACCAAAGGTATATACGTAGCATAAACGTACACAAACTTCAAACTTTCGTAGCTTATATGGATCCAGGGAGAAATTGGAATTCTTTGATCCCCAAAAAAAAAAAATTCTACGTGATTGACTTCCGAACTTACGCGAGGATAAAAAATAGCTTATTTTAACGAAAATCTCAAATTTGTCGTGTTTTTTATCCAACATTGCACAGTGAAATACTTAGTTTGAGTATCAAGTGATTTGAAACAAATACGATCAAGGTAAGTTGAAATCATGTCGTGAAGTAGTAATACTTACTAAATATTGTTTCATACGCATTTAACTCCTCACGCAATATACTATTGTACTTTATTCAAAATTCTTATACTACATTCAATCTTATATCGTTATTATTGAAGGTATATTTGTAGCAACAAAACAATATTTTTTTTACTAGCAACAAAAGTCTATTGAATCGGAGATGTATCATAATACATAACTATTTCATACACGTTCCCACTAGTTTGATACGGGTTTCTCTACTAAATGAGAAACAGCTATATCTGCATGTTGCCAGCAAACTAACACTTATGCTTCATCTCTCTAGTCTGAGAAATCACCATACGCACTCAGTACTTGATAACTTCTACTCCTCTACCTAAATCTCTACGAAGGTTGTTTCAAAAATAAGGTTCCCACTTGTTTTTCAGGCAAGTCGTTCGTTTGTTGTGAGACATGAGGATGCGCATTGTTGTGGTGCAGTCTCACGCTTCAGTGAGTTTTCCAGTACGACGAATTTTTGATTGCCGGTCTCAGCTTCTTCAGAAGCCTCAAAAACTTCAACCGCGTGTTCCCGATAGGCGCTTCTTGTTGGGATCGTTGGTGAGGTAGCTGACAAACACGACGGTATTGTCAGATTTAGCCTAGCATCACGCGCCGCAGAGATACAGCGTTGAGAACCTTATTTTTGAGACAACCCTCGTAATGTATGAATGTTGTTTCGTTATTGTTGCTTAAAGTCTGCTTTTAGATATGTGCTATGCTTTTTATATGAGGAACCCCGGTTATGCAAAAAATACACGCACTTAGGAATATAATATTGCCACCTCACGCACCTATGTTTCTAGCATCAGTTTATATTTTGCTACGTGAGTTTGCATGATAGTCCGCGAGTTCACGTGACGAAGGTAATACTAGACAGTCAGTTTATCTCCAAATACGGGACAAACAACATGCGTGGAAATGGACCGTATGTGGACTGTACTTAATTTCTATATCGAATATAAGGAAGACCTCACAGAAACCTTATGAAGAAGGCTTTGTGTTAATTTTCATTTCAGTATGTTGTAGATCTCAACGCCTAGAATATATGTTTGGGCTCAAAGGTTTTCCTTGCAACATTTTGAGATGCGTAGTCTCCTAGTTGGACAATGTGTACCCTATTACAGCATTTTGTAGTACACGACGGATTATTTAGGGGGGTCTTTGGGGATAAAGCGTTTTATTTGGATCTCTGCACTATTAATTAGATGACGTCATTACTACTAGGTTATTTTCTTTCTCAATCAAAACAAGTTCCTACTAATATCTTGAGGATTTGTAGCATAATCTGTCTTGAGTCACTGTCACTCTTAACTCGTGGGAAAATGTAAGGCCCATAGCCACTTTGGTTTTACGTTTTTAGATCTACAACGTACCAAATTAAAAAAACGCCACCCATTTTGTATATACTTTCTGCGGGGTCTTGAGTACTCTTATAAATTGTTACCAAAGGCAAGTATCACCTTAAAGGACCTATAATAGAATTCATTATTTCATAATCAATCAGGCAGGGGATACTAAAAGAGTAAGTGCTAAAAGATAATTTTTTGTACTTTCAGGCCTGCTAACTCAGTGGCGGGTACTGAAAGTTCGGTGTATGAAGATGCAAGAATACAGAAGGTTGCAGAAACAGATCTTGGAGTTGAAGGCATTCATAACATCCGCGAATATGCCAGACAAGAACACAGTATTTCCATCGAACATCGAAATGGAAGATATACACAACGAAATCGACAGCTGCAATGTAAGTAAATGTGTCAATGTCATTGTTTAAGTACGGCTTTATTACACACATTTGCGAGAAAATAATTGTATGAATCTTTTTTATTTTCAAAAATATCGTATTGGTTAGTGTATAACCATCCCTATTTAGATATTATAACCGAAAATCGCATTCAAAGTATTATGAATACATGTTGCAGGCTCGTAAATGATCTCGAAAGATATGATCATACGACTGTTGTTTCAAAAATATGGTTCCCCACGCTGTATCTTTGCCTAGTGTGATGCTAGGCGAGATCTGGCAACACCGTCGTGTTTGTCGGCTCCCCCACTACCGATCCCAATAAGAAGCGCCTGTTGGCGATGCCCAGTACCGGCCTGACGGCCATGCGCAATAAATAAAGTCATTCATCGCCGTCACCGCCAGGAGCGAAATTCGTGCGGTCATGCGATTTTTGCACGCAAAAGCGTTGCCGCCCATAGAAATCCATCACCAGTTGAGTGAAGTATATGGGAAACTTGTATAAGCATTCAACAAGACCTCAAATGGTGAGGATAGTTCTTTGGCGGCATAAGGACATCCACGATGAAAAACGAAGCGGGAGGTCGTCGATCTCCGAGGAAGTTATGACGAAGATTGAGGAAATTTTGCTCGATGATTGGCGAATCACGATCCGTGAAGAGGGAAATTCCTGAGGTTTCTCAAAAAGCTAAGACGGGCAAAAAATCACGTTAACACGTGCAGTCCCGTGGGCGGGGGTGACACCAACCCTAAAATCTTAAATGGAAAGGGGGGTCGAGTGATACCTTATTTTAAGGGTCTTTCAATTCCATTTATAATGATATAAAATTAATGTACTTCAGTTGAGTAGTTTTGAAGATTTGTGATTTAAAGCTTAAATAAAACTAATACATCATAATTAGTGGAGATCAATACATTTGGCAGCAAAGTAATTTAAAAATGAAGAATGAACTGACCCGTTAGGCAAGTAAATGTTGAAAATGGCCACCATGACTCTCCATGCAATAATAAAGATTTTTCTCAAAACGTTGCCGCAGATTTTGCAATATTTGAGGAGTAATTTGAAGGCACTCATTCACAATTCTTTGTCGCAGGTCTTCTAATGATGTTGAATGACCCCACATAAAGAAATCCAAACGTGATAACCCATATATCTATATATATATGGGTGAATATATTTTTCATTCGACTACTCTCCAATAGATGACACTTCTTTGTAAAGTGTTATCACAGGTCACACAAAATTTAACTAGTCAAAAAGATCCTTTACGTTCGGTTAGTTGGGGTTCGGGATGGGTCTATGGCAACGCATCCTCAAACATCAAGAAACGTAAATTTCCGTGAGGGGGGTTAAAATCCCCCCATTTTTTGATTAGATTAGTTTATTATATTCTAATATTACGTATTGGATTTGGCTTTGTTGAAAAACAAAGCGGCCTCCTCCTTGCTTGCATACTGAACGGATTTCACCAGCCCAAGGTAGTCATTCAAAATGGTGGACCTTGTGGTAGCTACCGATATGCAGCGCCATCTATTGGAGAGTAGCCGTCACCAAAAAGATTCGTTCAGTTGGGCTACCATCCCATAGATGGCGCTTCTTTGTAAAGTGCTATCACAGACCTCACAAAATTTAACTAGTCAAAAAGAACCTTAAGGGGCGGCTGGCCGGGGTTCGGGATGAGTCTATGGCAACGAATCTTCAATGATCAAGGATCTTAAATTTCCGTGAGGGGGGTTAAAATCCCCCCATTTTTTGATTAGATTAGTTTATTATATTCTAATATTACGTATTGGATTTGGCTTTGTTGAAAAACAAAGCGTCCTCCTCCTTGCTTGCACTGAAGTTCACTGAACGGATTTTGGCAGCCCAAGGTAGTCATTCAAAATGGTGGACCTTGTGGTAGCTACCGATATGCAGCGCCATCTATCGGAGAGTAGCCGCCACAAAAAAAATTCGTTTAGTTGGGCTACCATCCGATAGATGGCGCTGCTATGTAAAGTGCTATCGCAGACCTCACAAAATTTAACTAGTCAAAAAGATCCTTTAGGGGCGGTTGGTCGGGGTTCGGGATGGGTCTATGGCAACGAATCTTCAATGATCAAGGATCTTAAATTTCCGTGAGGGGGGTTAAAATCCCCCCATTTTTTGATTAGATTAGTTTATTATATTCTAATATTACGTATTGGATTTGGCTTTGTTGAAAAACAAAGCGTCCTCCTCCTTGCTTGCACTGGAGTTCACTGAACGGATTTTGGCAGCCCAAGGTAGTCATTCAAAATGGTGGACCTTGTGGTAGCTACCGATATGCAGCGCCATCTATCGGAGAGTAGCCGCCACAAAAAAAATTCGTTTAGTTGGGCTACCATCCGATAGATGGCGCTGCTATGTAAAGTGCTATCGCAGACCTCACAAAATTTAACTAGTCAAAAAGATCCTTTAGGGGCGGTTGGTCGGGGTTCGGGATGGGTCTATGGCAACGAATCTTCAATGATCAAGGATCTTAAATTTCCGTGAGGGGGGTTAAAATCCCCCCATTTTTTGATTAGATTAGTTTATTATATTCTAATATTACGTATTGGATTTGGCTTTGTTGAAAAACAAAGCGTCCTCCTCCTTGCTTGCACTGGAGTTCACTGAACGGATTTTGGCAGCCCAAGGTAGTCATTCAAAATGGTGGACCTTGTGGTAGCTACCGATATGCAGCGCCATCTATCGGAGAGTAGCCGCCACAAAAAAAAATCGTTTAGTTGGGCTACCATCCGATAGATGGCGCTTCTGTGTAAAGTGCTATCACACACCTCATAAAATTTAACTAGTCAAAAAGATCCTTTAGGGGCGGTTGGTCGGGGTTTGGGTGGTTTTCTATGGCAACGAATCTTCAATGATCAAGGATCTTAAATTTCCGTGAGGGGGGTTAAAATCCCCCCATTTTTTGATTAGATTAGTTTATTATATTCTAATATTACGTATTGGATTTGGCTTTGTTGAAAAACAAAGCGTCCTCCTCCTTGCTTGCATTGGGGATTACTGAACGGATTTCACCAGCCCAAGGTAGTCATTCAAAATGGTGGACCTTGTGGTAGCTACCGATATGCAGCGCCATCTATTGGAGAGTAGCCGAATCAAAAATAGATTCATCCGTATACCTCTGCTAAATCATTTTGAGCTAATTCTGTGCATTTTCAACTAGACAAATGTTAAAAACTGTAACATAACATAAAATACTATGCTCAAAAAATCCTATAAAATACGAAGCTATGATGGAGCCATCTATAAGAAAGTAGCGGAACTAAAAATATACCTATTAAGGTGACGTCACAAATACAGAGTTCTGCTCATCTCGAACGTTACCGTTGAGTAAAAATTCGTTCATAGAAGTAGCCACACTGTGACAGCATCAAGTGCAAACTGCCAATCAGCGAGCTGCTCTCATTCCCGAATTTGTTATTGCTACTAGTTTTTCGGTACCTGTAAATAAAATGTTATCGTTATTTTCACATACATTGAAAATTCTACATCCTAGGAGTATTGGGCAGTCAACTGCTTCGCATATCATCAGCACACTGCAAAAACACGATTAAGAACATAATTTTTCCTCTGTTTGAGTTTAATACAGTTTCAAACTTATACCTGTTCAGAATAAAACTGTTTATTTCCGTATATTCTACTTGTGTATTTGAATAACATTTTTACGCCATTATAACTCACATTTTCCGACTCGATTAATCAACTGATGTCAAACATGTAAATTCCAATTACCCAAAACTTCTTTTTGGGAGTTACCTGTTTCTTGCATTAACCCGACGATATGCCCGTTAATAGTAAGGTAGAGGTACTTCAAGAATGTAAAACCTACCTTAACGTATGTGTTTCATAATCTCTAGTTACTTGACTGTATATATTATACACCGTGTTTCAAATTCGACCCTCTCCATTGGGATCTTGGAAACCGCAAGAGATACGAAGTCACTTATATGGGGGCAAAGTTGCGTATTTGAGTGATCAACAAAATGTTTTATCAAATAAAAAATTCCTTGTCCCTGAAAAGATGTGGGAACCTTATTTTTCAGACAACCGTCGTATCATGACTTGGCCTATCTCCCGTTTCCGGCTTGACGCCGACTTCCGGGACACCCAGTATAGTATCTAACTCTCGCCTCCTGTAATGTCATTACAGATAAATAGACATTAATTATTATCAGTTGCAAAATTTATCTGAGAACATTCTGACGAAAAGGTGTACTATTTCCTAGGCTATTATAAGCAAAATGATAGCTAGTAGCTAGTCTATTTGACGGCTATGTAGTAGGCAAAAGGGAGTGGTTCATACACGGTTGCTGTGTGCCTGGTTGCCTGCAGGTAATCTCCATTGGGGGAGGGGCTATTTTGAATTAAGGTTGCTAGATACATGGTGGCCCAACAACGCGGAAAACTTGTTTGTATTTTATAAGCGAATATTGCGAAATTAAACTTATATAGGATGTTGCGTAATTTTGTGATTTAGCAAGCATATTCTCAAATAGGAGACACTATACACCGTGTTCCACGAGAAACTGCGGCGCCTTTTATTCTCGAGGTTGTTATTTGAATATTCGATAATTAAGTCAAAATGGAGGATGGAAACCGTAAAACAAATCCAAAAAATATTTCATTTCTAACGGAAATTGGAAATGATATATTTTTTAAAGTTGTCTATTTCACAAATGGTTTGCGGAATATTGGAAAATATTTGTTGTTCTAATGTAGTAGCACTGAATGTTGCTTTTTATGAGTTAACCTCAGTTGGCTATGTCGAGACCTTGGGCGACCTATTCACTAAGAAATATTTCGCTTTCACTGTATGATGGCCACGCCAACCGAAGATAACTGATCTCATTTAAAATGTATTGTTTTTCTTTTACCTGAATACGAGGGGTGCCCAAAAAAACGGAATTATTTTTTAAAAGCTATTTATTTTCAACTTTTTCACAATGTAAGCTTATCTCCTTCAACGTACTCC